CAGTACATTTATATTTTATACGTACAAACACATGTATATCCATATATGTGTGTGAGTGTGTGCTTATGTAAATAATGTAAATATGATGTGTACTTTGTTTTGAGGCCTTATCAGTCAGTCAGTAAGTCGGCATAATAAACAAATTGCATTTTGTTTAATAATAATATTGTAATGCATATGCATACATACATACATACATACATAGAGACATATATTTATATACATTGACATATTCATCAGGCATTGCCTTATTTTGTGGTAAATATTACATTCCTCCCCATCCGCCACTCGCCATTTTAGAACAATGTAATAATGATGGATTGGATTATATGTATGTATGTCAATTTGTATTTTTGCTATGTGTGTTCCCTACTCGCTTGTGTTTTCCTAGTCAATTGGAAACAAAGTAATTTATTTTTTTTTGTTTTCCTTTTTGTTTTTGGTTTCTGATTAAATTTCGAGTTCACAACGAACTCGCCGAATAAATCGAGAAAATCCCTTTTTTCATTGTTTTTGGGGTGCGAATGTACTGACAATGACACACATAAATATGTGTATGTTTTTGTTTGCATATATCACTGATATCGGCACGTTCGGCATAACTGTGTTTGATAAATAGTGCGACTTAATGTTTAACTATTTTATCACCAACTGCTGCTCCCACAGTCATGCTAGCCACGGCCGTAGTCATTTACAAAATTTTCCCCAATGGCAATGAATCTGGGGCTTATTTGATAAATAAAATATACCCCCTGGGAAGGGTGAATATTTTGAAGGGATAATTTGGTAGTCTGTGATAGACTTTAGAAAAGACAAGTAAAAAAGCTGTAAGTTCGACCGGACCGATCTTTGAATACCCTCCACCATTTGGTACAAATTTGGCAATTTTCAAAAAAAAAAAAATAAATAAAATCCGTTAAAAATTCTGTTAAAATCTTAAATGTAGCCGTATATTAGGGTCTGTACGACGACGTGGACCTGCATAGGCAACTTTTGTCACAAGCTATTACAATATTCAAATGCGAAACTTGAAAAAAAATCTGTTTATAATAAAGCTAAAATCAACAAAATTCCGAATATAGGGAGGAACCAGGGGAACCTGCACAGACAATTTTTTGTCATAGGCTGTAGTATTCATTACGAACTTCAAATGCGAAATTTGAAACATTTCCGGTAAATAATGTCGCTAAAATCATCAGAATACGGAATATCGGGGGGTACCGTTATATGGGGGCTATACGAAGACGTGGACCTATATGGCTCATTTTTTGTCTTATGCTGTAGTATCCATTACGAACTTCAAGTACCAAATTTGAAACAATTCCGGTAAATAATGTCGCTAAAATCATCAGAATACCGAATATCGGGGGGTACCGTTATATGGGGGCTATACGAAGAAGCGGACCTACATGGCCCATTTTCTGTTTTATGCTGTAGTGTCTATTACGAACTTCAAGTACCAAATTTGAAACAATTCCGGTAAATAATGTCGCTAAAATCATCAGAATACCGAATATCGGGGGGTACCGTTATATGGGGGCTATACGAAGACGTGGACCTGCACAGTCAGTTTTCAGTCATAGGCTGTAGTATTCATTACGAACTTCAAGTACTAAATTTGAAACAATTCCGATAAATAATGTCGCTAAAATCGTCAGAATACCGAATATCGGGGGGTACCGTTATATGGCGACTATACGGACACGTGGACCTGCGCAGACAATTTTCAGTCATAGGCTGTAGTATTCATTACGAACTTCAAATTTGAAATAGTTCCGGTAAATAATGTCGCTAAAATCAATAAAATACCGCATATCGGGAGGTACCGTTATATGGGGGCTATACGAAGATGTGGACCAACATGGCCCATTTTCAATACCAAAAATCCTCCAGACATAATACACATTTGAGTAAAATTTTATCAACCTACTTCATTTCGTTCGGTGGCTAGAGTGATTTCCACAGACGGACAGACGGGCGGACATTGATAAATCGACATAGAATTTTATGCTGATCAAGAATATCTATAATTTGTGGGGTCTAAAATGTATATTTCGAGGTGTTACAAACGGAATGACAAACTTAATATACCCTCCATACTATGGTGGAGGGTATAAAAAGGAGATAGATAGATGGATAAAAAAAAAACAAGTAAAATAGTATCAGTCGGTTTTGCTGACAGATATATACCACCCAGCCTTGAGTCATGATTATTCAAACTGTTTACCCTTAGTGGGGGAGGTTCCGGAGCAGTTGGCCAATATTGACCAATTCATATCTGACCTAAGACTAATATAAATATTGCAATGTGCCAGATTTGGACTATATCAACTATTTCCTATACCTTATATGAGATATGTGCAAATTTTTGGAAAATGTGGAAATATGCGTGGGGTACCAGATACAGCGGACCGAAGTGTTTAATTTTCATAATTCATCTAATACGGATAAAAATATTGGTATGGGCAAAATTACAAGAAAATTGAACATTTACATCCAATTTTATGCGAAATCATAAATTCCGATTGTGGGTGAGGTACCAGAAAGGGGTTCGCAGATAAATATCATCTTCACAACAGATCTTGTGTTAGCAAAAATGTTTGTCTGTGTGAAATTTGAAGAGAGTTGGATGCTCATTTCACTTCAGCGTTTCGTTTTTCAAAATCTTGTATCCTATGTGGAGAGGTACTAGAAGGAGTAGACCGATATATCCCATCTTCAAAACAGATCTGTTGTTAGTAGAAATAATGAGACATGTGAAATATGAAGAAAACCGGATGCTTATTTCGGATTTTATGATCGTTTAGGTCATTCAAAACTTTTACCCTTGTAGAGGAGGTACCACAAGGAATGGCCCGATATTTACTCTCTTTAAAACAGATCTTGTGTTGATGGAAATACTGAGATGTACCGAGTCTGCATGGAAAATAATATGATATGTGTAAATCGGGCTCTTACAACACATTTTATAAGAGTTATTATTATTCAAAATTTTGACCCTTTAGGGGGAGGGAGGTACTTGATGGAGTGGACCGATATTGGCGATTTTCGCATCTGACCTAGCACTGATGCAAATATTAGGATTTTCACAGTTGGAGCAAACTCTGATTATCCTTTCTATTTCTGTGCTGTACAATATTTTTTGTGGGTGATGTACCAGGAGGAGTGGACCGATTTTGCCTATCTCCGAAACTGATCAAAGTTTGACAATAATGTTACGATGTACCAAGTTTCGATCAAATCGGATACTCCCTTTGAGAGTTATCGTGCGCACCAGCCAGCCAGACAAAAAGACGGATGGACATCGCTAGATCGACTCCAAATATCCTGAAACGAATTTGGTCCAAAGTGACCTAGGGTCTATAAATTTTATCTCCCAATACCAAATATCGAAAACAAACTGTTCGAAATTTAGTACCATTTAGTACTTTTAGTAAAAATTTGGAACACATTTCCAAACCACCGACAAATCTCAAACCCTGATACCATCAGTAATCCAAATATTAATTTTCAGAATTTTATCTCTATCCCTTCGCCTAATTTCAAATATAGTACCATTCAGTACTTTTCGTACAATTATAGTACATAATTCCGAAACCAACTCCATATGTCGAGGCGACCCTTATAACAAATTTCAGATTTCAAGCACTATATGTTCAGCAAATACCAAATTGTACCAAATATAGTACTATTTAGTACTTTTCATCCACTTGAAGGTCACATTTCCAAAACCAACTCTTTATCACAAATCCAGCACCATCAGGGACCCCAATACCAACATTTCAACATTCCAGCTACATCCGTTTCAAACTCTTCCAAAATTTAGTACCATTTAGTACTTTTCGTACAAATATAGTACACATTTCCGATACCACTTCCATATGTCCAGACTACACATGAACCACGCTTATATGAACTTTCAGGCATTATCTGTTCAGCGAATACCAAATTGTACCAAACATAGTACTATTTAGTACTTTTCGTACACTTATAGTTCACATTTCCAAAACCACCTCTTTATCACAAATATACCACCATAAGGGACCCCTATACCAAATTTCAAAATTCTACCATCATCCGTTCACACTAAAGCAAACTATTCCAAATTTAGTACCATTTAGTACAGTTCGCACACTTAGTACACATTTCAAAAACCATATAAAATATATAAATATTTCATTCCAACCTTGATTCTCATGCCAAATTTCAAGTTTTTAGCATTATCCGTTCACATAATACCTAATGGTACCATTGTAGAGGTTTAGTACTATTTTAGAACCTTCCAGCGTTCTATCAGAAGACTCTTTAGACCTTTATGAAAACATACCTTTCTTTCTATTCTTGATTCTCATACCAAATTTCAAGTTTTTAACTCCATCCGTTCCCATGATACCAAATGGTAACATTTTAGAACTTTTCGTAACCTTAGTGTGCGAATTTCCAAAAACCCTTTGAAAAAACCATGCTGCACTCCATCAGTGACTCTCCTTCCAAATTTCAGAATTTTAGCTCATTCCGTTGGCCCAAAGTATTCAATTTTACTACATTGTAGTACTTTGCGAACCCTAATAGTAAGAATTTGAAAAAATCCAAGAGAAGACTGACCCTCGTGCAAAATTTCAAGATTCGGGGTATAGATAAGATTTAGATTTTGATGAGATTATATCCAGGTTTTATCCATTTTTTAAAAATGTTGGCTCCTATTTTTAGCTCTACCACCATAATCTGCTGAGTTTTTCCTGGAACTATCGAAAAAGTTGAATTTTGTTACACAGTGTTAGAGATAGATAGAGATAAATTTCAGATAGAGAAGGCATGTAAAAGTAAATATTCTATCTATATAAGGCCTCTGAAGGACTTGCTTGCTAGCTCGCTCTTATTCTACAAATTTATTTTACAATTCTCTTAAAAATTTCCCTTTCATTATTTTGCCCATCTTTGCAATAAATATTCCAACTCACCCGTTTTTCTCTTTCTCTTTCTTCTTCTCTTTCTTCCAGAAACCAAAGATATTCTTCACGGCATCACAGGATTTTTTAAGGCCGGCGAACTGAGTGCCATAGTCGGGCCATCGGGAGCTGGAAAAAGTACCTGCCTCAATATACTCTCAGGATATACGTAATATAACCTCAAATTATGGCTGATGAAACAAAAACTCATAATAGACAAACATTTTCCCACATTTTTTCTCTCTATCTCCCTCTCTCTCTTTGACAATAAATCATAATTCAAAACTCCAGAGCCTTTGGTTACACCGGCGATGTTCTGGTCAATGAAAGTTTACGTGACATTAAGGCCTTCAAACAAAATGTGGCATTTATTACTCAGGATACTAGTCTGCAGCCCTATTTGACCGTCAACGAGGCCATGCATTTTTCGGCAAATTTGAAAATTGGCGCCCACATGAGTAAGAGTGCAAAACGAGAGAGGGTAAGTGGGGTACTCCCTTTTAAATATTTGCTCTTAATTTGTTTAATTTGTTGTGTGTTCCTTAGGTGAAAAAGATATTAGAAGCTATTGGCATGTACGAGAATCGTCATACCAGAACAGGCCAGCTGTCCGGTGGCCAAAAGAAACGTCTGTCCATTGCCCTGGAATTGGTGAATAATCCACCGGTTTTAATATTGGATGAACCAACGAGGTAAGTAAAAACTGAAAAGATCTTTTGGGCAATCTGTGAGAGAACCTTCTGATCTTCTCTTCTTCTTTTTTGAGAAGGCCACATACCTCAACAGACCTTTCGGAATTTTTATTAGAATACCTCTCGGGATTTCTATAAGTAGACCATCTGACCTTCATAAAGAAGACTCTGTGGCCTCCTAAGAGAGCAACCGTTCGGGATTTTTATTAAAAGCCCTTTCGGGATTTCTATTAGAAGCCCTTCTCACCTTCATGCAGAGAAGACTCTGTGGCCTCCAAAGAGAGAAACCGTTCTGTGGGGAAACTTTTTGATCTTCTGTGTGAAGACCTTTCGATTATTCTATGAGAGGACCTTTCTGACTTTCTATAAGAAGAACTTTTGGCCATCTCTGAGAGGACCTTGTGGTTTTCTATGAGAAAACCTTTTGGCCTTAACCGAGAAGAACTTTAAGATTTATTTGAGAAGACATTTTGGCTTTGTCTGAGAAGACCTCTCGAAAATACATTGTGGCCTTCTGTGAGAAGACATTTTGGCCTCTCTGTGACCTTCTCCGAGAAGACCATCCAGCGTTCTATCAGAAGACCCAATAGCCCTTTGTGAAGAGACCTTGTGGCCTTCTATGAGAACACATTTTCGTCTTCCTAGAGAAGAACATTTAGACCTCCTATGAGAAGATCCTCCAGTCTTCTGTAAAATACCTTGTGGCCTTCTTTGAGAACAGCTTTCGGGCCTTCTATACGGAGACCTTTCTGGCCTACTATGGGGGACCTTTCGGACTTGTTATGTCCTCTATCAAAATACACTTCCAGCCTTTTATCAGAAGCCTCTTCAGTCTTCTACGAGAATACCTGGTGACATTCTCCGAAAAGACCATCCAGCGTCTTATCAGAAGACCCTCTAGCCTTTTTAAAAATACCTTGTGGCCTTCTATGCGAAAACATTTTCGCCTTCCTAGAGAAGAACTTTCGGACCTCCTATGAAAAGATCTTCCAGTCTTCTGTAAAAGACTTTGTGGCCTTCTATGGGAAAATCTTCTGGTTTTCAATGAAAAAACCTTCTGGCCTTCTCTGAAAAGATCTTCTGGGCTTTCCTTAAAAGAACTTCTTGCTTTCCTTGAGGAAACCTTCTCTGTCCTTCGATGATAAAACATTTCGGGCCTTCTGTGAGAAGACTTGCTCGACTTTGTGGGTAAACCCTTTTGCCTTCCAGGCCTTTCGGGCCTTTTATAAGGAGACCTTTCTGGCCTTCCATGGGGGACCTTTCGGACTTTCTATGCCTCCTATCAGAAGAATCTTCTGCCTTCTATGAAAATACCTTATGGCCTTCTATGAGAAGAACTTCTGGGCTTCTCTAAAGAGAACTTATTGGCTTCCTTGAAAAAACCTTCTCTGTCCTCCGATGACAAAACCTTTCGGGCCTTTTGTGAGAAGACCTTCTAGACTCTGTGGGAAAACCCCCTGGCCTCTTAGGAGAAGAGCTTTCGCGCCTTCTATAAGGAGACCTTTCTGGCCTACTATGGGGAACCCTTCCGACTTTCTATGAGAAGACTTTTCGGGACTTTTTTCAGAAGACCTTCCAGGTCATCTATGAGAAGTTCCTCTTGCCTTTTGTAAAAAGACCTTTCGGTCCTTCTTTTGTAGACCCTCTGACTTCGGTGAAAAGAACCTCTGGCCTTCCAGGAGAAGACCTTTCTGGTCTTCTATGAGGATACCTTACGTGACCTGTTGGACTTATTTAGGAGGACATTCCAGGACTTCTATGAGAACACAATCGACCATCTCAGACTTTCTCTAAGAAGACCCTTCAGAACTTCTTCGGGAGAAACTTTCGGCCCTTCCATAAACAGACCTTTCGAACTTTCTAGGAGAAGTCCTTCAGGGTTTCTTTTAGAAAACTATCAGGCCTTATATGGAAAGACCTGGCCTTATGTGCGAAGACCCTTTAGCGTTTTGTAAAAAGAAGCCTTTGTGAGAATAGCTTTCGGGCCTTTTGCGAGAAGACGTTTAGGACTTCCGACCTTCTATGAAAAGATCCTGGGTCCTTCTATGGGTAGACCTTCAGGCTTCTAAAAGAATACCATTCGAACTTTCTATGAGAAGACCTTCTTGCCTTCTTTTCTATCTATTGTAGGTTGATGTGTGTCTAATTAATAGGGTCTTGATAGTTCTGATGTACATATTTTTTTCTTTTTTTCAGTGGCTTGGATAGCTCCACCTCCAATCAGTGTATATCCCTGCTCAAGAAATTGGCCTTGGAGGGTCGTACGGTGATTTGCACGATTCATCAACCCAGCGCGTTGACCTTTGAGATGTTCGATCACTTGTATGCAATTGCTCGTGGTAGCTGCATTTATTCGGGTGGAACCCAGAATTTAGTGCCATTTTTGGCCGATGTAGGTCTAGAGTGTCCCGAGTCATATAATCCCGCCGATTATTGTAAGTAGCGACGTGAACCACAAAATGTAGAATTTCTTGTAAAATCATGGATATGATTTCAGTAATGGAAATTGCCACCGATGATTATGGGCCACAGAATGACAAATTAATAGCTAAGATTGAAAATGGCCGGAACAATAGTTATCGTCAGTCCAAAGCTGCAAAAGCCAAGCAACTGGAGGCCATGCATAAGATTGGTAAGCATTTTTGAAGTTAAGAGAGTTTTGAAAATTATTTTAATTTTTTTTTTTCAATTTTTCCAGACAAAATGATGGCCTCGGGTCTTATGACACCTGTCACTGCCCCCGTGCTGCCCACCCCTGCCATTGTAAATAGCAACAACATCCTGCTGAATAATCAACAAAAATACACGTCCAGCAACAACACCGCCTCCAGCCATCCATATTATTACCAGCATCGAAATAGCGGTAACCAGCAAAGTTCAGCGAGAACAAAACCCCTCACGCCTATTAAGGAGATGGCCTCACGTTTGGGTGATAGTCGAGGTCTGCTCGGCGATAATAGCCAAAACAATACCAAAGAACTAGACTCAAGTGCCGAAAATGGTTGTTGTCCGCCTCAGCAGCAGCCGAATTTGTGTAAAAGTGAAAATATCTACGCCACACCATTCTATCGCCAGCTGGGTATCCTGTTGCTGAGGACATTTCTGATATTGTGGCGTGATAAGTCTTTGACTCTTCTACGCTTTATTATTCACCTTGTGACTGCTCTGATGATCGGATTTATTTATTATGGCATTGGCAATGAGGCGGAGAACACATTGAATAATTTCCGCTATTGCTTCTATTCGATTATGTTCATCATGTATTCGGCATTTTCGTCGATTTTAGTGAAATGTAAGTAGAGACTTTTTGGAACAAACATTTTCTGAAGGTCTACTATAGACCTTCTGAAGGTCTGTTATAGATAGAACAACTTCTAGAGGCCTCCTATAGATAGAATACCTCCTAAAGGCATCCTATACATAACAGACCTTCTGATGGGTTATTGTAAACAGAAGACCTTCTGAATGTCCCCTATAGATAGAAGACCCTCTAAAGATCTCCTATAGATAGAAGACCTTCTGAAGGTCTCCCATAGATGGACGACCTACTGAAGGTTTTCTATAGAAAAGCAACTTTCTGAAGGTCTCTTAAAGGTTGAAGACCTTCTGAAATAGGTAGAAGATCTTCTGAAAGTCTCCTATAAATAGAAGACCCTCTAAAGACCTCCTATATATAGAAGGCTTTTTGAAGATCTCCCATGTATATAAGACCTCCTATAGATATAATACCTTCTGAATGTTTCCTACAGATAAAGACCTTCTAGAGGCCTCATATACATAGAAGACCTTCTAAGGTCTCCTATGGATAGAAGGCCTTTTGAAGGTCTTCTATAGATAGACGCCCTTCTGAATTTCTCCCATAGATAGAAGACCTTTTGAATAGCTCCTATAGATACGACCTTCTGAAAGTCTCCTATAGATAGACGACCTATGGAAGGTTTCTTATAGATAGAAGACCTTCTGAAGGTCTCCTATAGGTAAAAGATCTTCTGAAAGTCTTCTATAAATAGAAGACCCTCTGAAGACCTCCTATACATAGACGACTTTCTGAAGATCTCCTATGTATGGAAGACCTTCCGAAGGCCTCCTATAGTCCTGCTGAAAGTCTTCATAGACAGACCACCTTCTGAAGGTCTAATATGGATAGACGGCCTTCTGAGGGTCTTCTATATATAGAAGGACTCCTATAGATAGAAGACCTTCTGAAGGTCTCCTATAGATAGAAGACCTTCTGAAGGTCTCCTAGAGATAGAAGACCTTCTGAAGGTCTCCTAGAGATAGAAGACCTTCTGAAGGTCTCCTAGAGATAGAAGACCTTCTGAAGGTCTCCTAGAGATAGAAGACCTACTGAAGGTTTCCTAGAGATAGAAGACCTTCTGAAGGTCTCCTATAGATAGAAGACCTGCTGAAGGTCACCTAGAGGTAGAAGACCTTCTGAAGGTCTCCTAGAGATAGAAGACCTTCTAAAGATCTCCTAGAGATAGAAATCCGTCTGAAGCTGTCCTATAGATAGACGACCTTCTGAATGTCGCCTACAGATAAATACCTTCTGGTGATCTTCTTCTACGTAGAACATCTTCTAATGATCCCTGTGACGTAAAAGATCTTCTATAGGTCTTTATGACGTAGAAGACCTTCTGTAAGTCGCCTATACATAGAAGACCTTCTTATGTTCTCCCATTGATAGAAGACCTTTTGAAGAAAACCTTCTGAAGGCTCCTCTAGATATAAAACTTTCTGAAGGTATTGAATGCTTAGAGGACCTTCTGAAGGTCTCTATTGGATAGAAGACCTTCTGAAAGTCTCTTATAGATGCAAGACCTTCTGGTAATCTTCAATACGTCCCTATGATGGAGAAGATCTTCTGTAAGTTTTTATGACGTATTAGACCTTCTGGGTTTCCTTTTGGAGGCTCCTATAGATATAATACCTTCTACAGGTCTCCAATGGATAGAAGACCTTCTAAGGGTCTCCTGTAGATATAAAACCTTCTGATTTTCTATACGTCCCTATGACGTAGAATATCTTCTTTAATTCTTTATGACGTAGAAGACCTTCTTAGGATAGAAGACCTTCTGAGGCCTTCCCTAGATATACGATTTGTTTATATATCTAATATTTTTATTTCTGGAATATTTATTTGATTTTCATCTTCTTCTTCTTTTTGCTGTTTTAGTTCCGCTAGAGTTCCCCATTGTGTCACGGGAACATTTTAATCGTTGGTATTCCCTGAGGGCCTACTATGTGGCAATAACCCTTGCCGATATACCCATACAGATGGTGTGTACAACGGTGTATATAGTCATAACCTATGTGCTGACCGATCAACCGGGCGATATATTTCGAGTGGTCTTATTCTGTGTCATTACTTTCCTGACGGCATTGGTGGGACAAAGTATTGGCTTGGCTGTGGGGGCTTCACTGAATATTAAGGTAAGTTTAATGAAATTTTTATGGAAATGATTCTCATTAACTTTGTGTGTCTTTTTTTTAGCTGGCAGCAATATTGGGTCCCTTCTTCATCTGCCCCTTTTTGACGTTCTCTGGTTTCTTTGTGCAGGAAAAACATGCCCCCGAAGCTCTGAAATGGTTATTTAAAATATCATTTTTAAAGTATAGTTTTGAGGGATCGGTCATGTCCATTTTTGGCTTTGATCGACCCCGTTTGGAGTGCAGCGAAATGTATTGTCATTATTCGAGGCCTCAGGTCTTCCTTAAGGATGTTGGCATGCTGAATGCCAACTATGAAATGGCCATAATATTTTTAGTTTCGCTATTTTTAGCCTTACGTATTATTGCGTTCTATATAATGTCATTTCGATTGCGTTTATTTAGATAGAATTGAATTTGGAATGTGATTTTTTTTTTGTTGTCTGAATATTTGATGAGGAGAATTTGGAATTTAGGGAAACCAAATGGAGGATAATTGAAAGCAAAAAAAAGGGGAGACATGTAGTTGGGTTAGATGGGGGGTCTCTGTTGCAGTATTGAAAAATTGGATTGAATATTGGCATAATTGATATATGTTGTTGGCAAAATCAGAAGCGAAGAAGCGTTCAAGAGGTCCGCTATTAATAGAATACCTTCAGAAGGTGTTCCAAATATAGAAAACCTTTAAAAGGACATATTTGAAGGACCGAAACGCTTAAGAATTTCTTTAAGGGATTGGCTATGTATAGATGTTCGGTTGGAAGTCTCTCAGAAAGACGTTTATTGTTGGAAGGATTTTGCAATAATTTCCGGGATTAAAGACCGTTAGAATATCGTCGGAGGACACAAAAGGATCTTGTCCGAATGTGTTACAAATATTAATATTGCAGGAATATTAATATCCAGTAGATCCTAAGAGTAGAACTCAAAATAGAATACTCGTGTATGGGAGTTTTTGACACAAAAGGATCTTGTCCGAATGTGTTACAAATATTAATATTGCAGGAATATTAATATCCAGTAGATCCTAAGAGTAGAACTCAAAATAGAATACTCGTGTATGGGAGTTTTGAAAGTTTACATCGCAAACTCTCCAAACTCTCTTCAAAAGGAGGGTATATTAACTTTGTCCTTCCGTTTGTAACATCCCTAAATATTCGCCGTAGACCCCATAAAGTATGATCAGCATAAAATTCTAATCGATTTAACGATGTCGTCTGTGTCTGTCCGTCTGTCTGTTGAAATTACGATACAGCCCACATTATTTGACGTAGAGCTTTCAAATTTGGCACAACAATTTGTATTGTGCCTAGGAGGGTGGGTATTGAAAATGGGGTATATCAATCCACCTTTTTGGTATAGCCCCCCAACAAGGGTACCTCCCAATATTCGGAAGTTTCATGATATTCGCCACATTTCTCCACCAATTTGTCTAAAAATTGGTATTTGTAGGTCATAATGGATTCTAGCTCCGATGGCGGATCATTATATGTATAGGTCCAATTTTTCATATAGCCCCCCATAAGGGTACCCACCGATATTCGGTATTTTAATGATTTTCGCCACATTTTGTACACGAACTTGTTTAAAAATTGGTTTTTGTAGCTCATAATGGATTCTAGCTCCGATGGCGGAACATTGTATGTATAGATCCACTTTTTCGTATAGCCCCCACAGAAGGGTATCTCCCGATTTTCGGTATTTTGGATGATTTTTGCCACATTTTTCCACGGATTTGTCTAAAAATTGGTATTTGTAGTTCGCAATGAGTTCTAGCTCCGGTGGCGGAACATTGTATGTATAGGTCCACATTTTTGTATAGCCCTCATATAACATTACCTCCCGATATTCGGTATTTTTATGATTTTTGCTACATTTATTCCACAGATTTGTCTAAAAGTTGGTATTTGCAGGTCATAACGGGTTCTACCTCCTGTGGCGAAATATTGTATGTATAGGTCCACATTTTTGTATAGCCCTCATATAAGGGAATGTCCCGATATTCGGTATTTAGATGATCTTCGCCACATTTTTCTACAGATTTGTCCAGAAATTGCTATTTGTAGTTCGTAATGGGTTCTAGCACCGGTGGCGGAACATTGTATTTATAGGTCCACTTTTTCGTATAGCCCCCATATAACATTACCTCCCGATATTCGGTATTTTTACGATTTTTGCTAAATTTAATCCCCAGATTTGTCTAAAAATTGGTATTTGTAGGTCATTATGGGTTCTAGCACCGGTGGCGGAACATTGTAAGTATAGGTCCACTTTTTCGTATAGCCCCATATAAGGGTACCCACCGATATTCCGTAGTTTGATGATCTTTGCCACATTTTTCCACGGAATGATCTAAAAATTGGTATTTGTAGGTCATAATCGGTTCTAGCTCCGGTGGCGGGACATAGGACCACGTTTTCGCATAGCCTTCGGTAGTCTGATGATCTTTGTCATATTTTTATACGGATTTGTCTAAAAATTGTCATTTGTAAGACATAACGGCTTCTAGCTCCGATTGCGGAACATTGTATGTATTGGTCCACTTTTTTGTATAGCCTCCATATAGGGGAACCTCCACATATTCTGTATTTTGGATGTTTTTTGCCACATTTTTCCACGGATTTGTATAAAAATTGGTATTTGTAGGTCATAATAGGTTCTAGCTCCACCGATATTCGATATTTTAGCCACGGTATTAGCCACATTTACCTACGTAATTGTTTCTTTAACAAAACAACTCAGCTATAACGAACAAAATATTACTGAGCCCCCCATGAGTTTGTTATAACCGTTTTTAAAACATTTTAAATATTATCCCATTTTTTGCTTTCAATTCAAAATTCTGCTAGAAAATCTTTTATAATTCTAACTAGTATTTATTTAGTTTAATTCAAGTGCCTATAGATATATATAAAATGTATGTATATATATATTTAATGACATTTATATGCATGTATATGTAAAACATATACAATGAAATTCATAATAGTTTAATATCTAGATATATATATACACATATATATTAAAATTACCCATCTATGTATATGAGATATGTCTACAAGTTCCCCAATATGGAATTCGGATGTATTAAAAATTATATATATTTTTTTTAAATTTCATGTAAAGAATTCTTTAGATTATCATAAAAGAATGTCCACCAAAAATGATTTTGAAACTGAAACCGAAACCCTTTTCGAGTTATAACGAATATTTGAATAATGAAAATGTTTTCAAAATAACCTTCTACAACATTATAGAGCATTCCATGTATTAAAATAAGTTAATGTAGCTCTTTTCTTAATTATTCTCTCTAAACCTCAACAAAGAGAGAGGGTGAGAGGGAGAGAAACGAGAAAATATTCTGTATGTCAATGGAATTTGTACCAAAGTTTTTTTCTTTTTGTTTTTAAATCGATTTAATTGTATTGTAATTGTTAATTGTTTTATTATAAATAACTATATAGAAATGGAAGAGTGTATTTTTTATATATATCTGTAATATTTGTAACTGTAATGCGTGATAATTAATTAAATACTATAATTATTATTTGATAATTGAACGAATGACGATGTTATGTTAATTTGTATAATAACTATAATTGAATTTGTATATTTTTAATATTTGTTCTTTTTTGCTAAATAAAATGTGTATTAAATAATTGTAAGAAATGAAAAGATATATTATTTCAGGGGAAAAAATAGAAAGAATTTGGAAAAATGCCAAATGCCACGTTTGAAGCCTTTAAAAGATGGAAAAAATACCATTTAAGGATGTTTCAGATGAAATAAGGCCTTCTAAAGAATGAATTAATGTCAAATCTATTGAAAATAGAAGAAAAAAATAGGGGAAAAAATAGAAAGAATTTGGAAAAATGTAGCTGATTTTATTGTTCGAAAATAAAAATGATGCTTTTGAAGCCTTTTAAAGATGAAAAAAATACCATTTAAGGATGTTTATTAATTAAAAGACTTTCAAGCTGCCTTCAACACAAGTAAGACTCTCATAAGGCCTTCTAAAGAATGAAAAAAAAAAAATTAAGTATTAGTCGGTTTTGCCGACAGATGCATACCCTCAGCCAATGTTCGATTATTTAAATATATTTTGACTTCTGTTATGATTATTTAAATTGTTGACCCTCTATGCAGTGGGTTCCGAAGGAATGGGCCAATATGTTCGGTTATTTAAAATATTTTCAGTTTTGTTATGATTACTCAAATTGTTGACCCTCTATGGCGTAGGTTCCGAAAGAATAGGCCAATATTAACCATTCCGTATCGGACCTACACAAATGTGATATAAATATTGCAACGAGACAGGTTTGGACTACATCGACTACTTCCTTCACTTTATATGAGATATGTGATAATTTTTGAAAATATTAAAATGTGCGTAAGGTACCAGATAATGTCGGCCGAAGTATTCCATTTTTATACTCTCCATCATAGTATGGAGGGTATATTAAGTTTGTCATTACGTTTGTAACACCTCGAAATATATATTTTAGACACCACAAAGTATACATATTCAGGATCAGCATTAAATTCTATGTCGACTTAGCGATGTCCGTCCGTCGTTCCGTCTATTATTTTTCTCGTCTGTGGAAATTACTCTAGCTTCCGAACGAAATTAGGTAGATTGATAAAATTTTACTCAAATGTATCTTATGTCTGCAGGACCTTTGGTATTGAAAATGGGCAATGTAGGTCCACGTTTTGGTATAGGCCCCATGTAACGGTACCTCCCGATTTCAGTATTCTGATTATTATTCACCGGAATTGTTTCAAATTTGGTATTTGAAGTTCGAAATGTATACTACAGCCTAAGACAGAAAATTGTCAGTGCAGGTCGACGTCTTCTTATAGCTCCGGTACCCTCCGATATTCGGTACTTTTTTGATTTTAGCGACATTATTTACCGGAATTGTTTCAAATTTGGTATTTGAGATTCGTAATGGATGCTACAGCCTAAGACAGAAAATTGTCTGTGCATGTCCACGTCTTCGTATAGCTCCGGTATCCTCCGATATTCTGTACTTTTTTGATTTTAGCGACATTATTCACCGGGATTGTTTCAAATTTGGTATTTGCTGTTCGTAATAGATGCTACCGCCTATGACCGGAGATTGTCTGTGCAAGTCCAAGTCTTCGTATAGCCCCCATATAACGGTACCTTCCGATATTCGGTATTTTGACGATTTTAGCGACATTATTCACTGGAATTGTTTCAAATTTGGTATTTGAAGTTCGTAATGGATACTACAGCCTGAGACAGAAAATTGTCTTTGCAGGTCCGCGTCTCGCATAGCCCCCATATAACGGTACCTCCCGATATTCGGTATTTCGATGATTATTCACCGATTTTTTTTTAGTTTCGCATTTGAATATTGTAATGGCTTATGACAAAAGTTACCTATGCAGGTCCATGTCGTCGTATAGACCGGAATATAACAGCTTTTAAGATTTTACCAGAATTTTTAACGGATTTTATTATTTTTGTCCAAATTCGTTCCAAATGGTGAAGGGTATTCAAAGTTCGGCCCGGTCAAACTTACAGCTTTTTTACTTGTCATACTTCATCTAATACAGATGTATGGGCCAAAGTATAAGGAAATCGAAAATGTATATCCAATTTAATGCGACATTATAAATTCCGCTTTCATCTCAGGTTTCTGGTTGAGATAAATATTTAGAAATAGCAAATTGCTACGCAAGTTATGATAGTTAAAAGTATTGAAAATTGTGACCCTTTGTGAGTGAGGTACCAGAAGGGGTTCACAGATATTTGTAGAGAGTTTGATGGTTATTTCGCTTTCTTTGAGCGTTTTGAACCAGAAGGAGTGGAACGATATATCGCATCTTCACAGTAGATCTTGTGTTAGTAGAAATAATGGGATGTGTGAAATATGAAGGAAACAGTATGCTTGTTTCAGATTTTATGATCCTTTTGATTATTTAAAACATTGACCCTTTGTGGGGGGAGGTATCAGAAGAAAGGGTCCGATTTCTACCACCTTTATGACAGATCTTGTGTTGATAGAAATATTGAGATGGACAAAGTCTGAATGAAATCGGATGTTAATTTCGCGTTTTGATGAGCTTCATGAATTTTCAAAATGTTGACCCTTTGTGGGAGACATACCAGAAGGAGTAGACCGATATAATCCATCTTCACACCAGGCCTCGAGTTAATAAAAATATTGTGAAGTGTGCAATTTGAAGACAATCTGACTCTTACATCAAATTTTATAGGAGTTATAATTATTCAAAATTTTGACCCTTTGTGGGAGTGGTACTTGATGGATTGGACCGATATTATCCATTTTCGCACCTGACCTAGCGCTGATAGAAATATTAGGATCTGCAGAGTTAGAGCAAAATCGGATTATTCCTTCTCTTTCTGTGCAGTAAATTATTTTCTTTCAAAAAGTTGACATTTTGTGGGAGAGGTACCAGAAGGAGTGGACTGATATTGTCCATCTCCAAACTCGACTTAAGTTTGATAATAATATTACGATATACCAAGTTTAGATCAAATCGGGTACTCCCTTCGAGAGTTATCGTGCGCACCTGCCAAACAGACAGAATGACGGACGGACGGACATCGCTAGATCGACTCCAAATGTCCTGAAACGGATTTGGTCCAAAGAGACCAAAGGTCTAAACCCGTTATTGCGATGAAGCAGGTTTTGGCCGTATCAAATGATATATCCTCTCTAGCCATATGACGGAGGGTATAAAACTATAATTTTTCTTATTATTATTTTTTAAGTAATAATAATAATAATTGATTCCTTATATTGATGTTTTTTTTCTCAAACTGTCTCTTTGAGTTAATAAGCGATGTAGAAAAAGAACTTCTTGCTATCAGTGAGATTATAGGTATTTAGGTCTTCTGTGAATATACAGATCTTCTGGTCTTCTGTAGAAATCATTCATTTCTAGAAAAGTTTGGGAAGAACTATTTAGAAGTACAAAAGAAAATTCCTCCTACTTTTGAGGTTGCTGTCAATGACGAGTAGAAAGATTCCTTAGAGAAACTAGTCGCGCTGTTAGTCTGTTCTGCTCGACGTTCTAAATATGTTCACACCAATGCCAGATATTCTACTTCCAAGTCCCATCTCCTGGATATCGGGTGTTTAAAATTGTTTATATAACAACTATCCTTGATAAAAAGAAGCATAATGTCCAAAATAGAACACCCTATTAAGAGTAACTCATGGCAGCGGTGCTCAAAACCGTGTTCTAGAACATGAACAGAAAAAAGAGATAATTTAAGAGAAAATTAAAATTCTGTTTTTCTTTATATTTTACGGTTCTATTTAATTGTTTTTAAACACGAATGTTTGCCAAAATAATTTATAAAGCAAATGGATAAAAAAAATATTTGTATAAATAATGACTTAACCCTGTTTTGTTCTTGATTTAAATAAGCAAAGAGAAATTTGACTGAAAAGAGATATTTCTTCTT